ATCCAATATGTGTCCTATGTTTTCACTTTTCAAAAAAACGGAATATCAGAAGATGCTGTTTAAAGGAGGATAACAAAAAAACATAAATGTAAATAAAATAAGAAGAAACATATGTGAAATAAATAAAGATATCTCCAGACCTGAGAAATATGTTTGTAGTCTGATATAGCTTTCATCAACCCGAGATTAAGTACCCTTGAGGTCATGAAGAAACATTCACAAATAAATGAGAAATTCTCCTTCTTTGAGCACCTAAGTTGTGAGGCTGTGCTATTTTTGCCAGAGCTTGTGGCTTCCTGTGATTCCACAAATCGAGCCTCTCCACTGGCATTATTTTGAGCATGCTCATTGTTTATACTCTCTATCCAAGACGAGACTTCTTCTGAAGACGCATTTATAGCTGTCAAATCCCTATATTCAAATGCAATGTATCAGTGAAATAATTTAGAACATTATTATACTCAGAATTGCACATCAGACATTTCAGGCACATTATCCTGAAAACTCACTTGAAATCGATTCTATTGTTACAGAAGAGGTACTTGACATCAATCTTATCCTTCTTTGATTCCATGTTGTCCAGAAAAGGCTCGCATAGACGGAGCATCACAGCGCTAAGATTCACAAACATACCTGAACTCGCGCATTTTAATGGATCTACCTGTTGCATGACACAGGATGAGTTACAATTTGAAGTATAGTTTATTCATCCAACGAAGAACAATATGCCACATAGGTCGCCATCTATTACACGATTTACATACATTGCAACTATTTGAAGATCCAAACACATAAATGCCCTATTTTCTCCATGTTAGTGTAAAAATGCTATAAAAAATTAACAAGTTTAAGATTGCACAATGTCAATGTTATTTTCATGTTCAAAGTACAGGCAATGGATGAAAAATTCTTTTCCTCCACTTAGGCTCTGTTTGGAACTAAACTGACTCTTGCAAAGTTTTATAATTTCTACTCTGGATTTAGTGGTTAATTGGAAGCATCCTTAATGGAGTTATAACAGTAAAATCATACTGAGAACAGGCAAAAGTTCACTAGATTCCACATTGCCACATACTGTGGTACATAAATAAACCCACAAATTGGCACATAGTGCTAAATATTTCAAAACACTTAATGGAGCCATAACAGTAAAATCATACTGAAACCAGGCAAAAGTTCACTAGATTCCACATTGCCACATACTGTGGTACATAAATAAACCCACAAATTGGCACGTAATACTAAATATTTCAAAACACTAAAGTGAATGAAATCTGACCTTGCAAACATTGTGTTAAATATGTACCGTAAGATGTGATTTAAAGGAAAACAGGGTGCAAATAGGGAAACTTAGTCTTATAGAACCACTCATCGTGGTTATGCTCAGTTAAATTTATTTGATTACCTGCATGCCAGATCTGGATGCATTTTTATTTATCACTTCTGCTATATACTCAAGAACCTTTTCTCGAGTATCCAAATTTTTTAGGAGGATTAGAAGGACATCCTTAAGGCCATCATACAAGCCATTCATAACAGTCTTGATTGTTGTGAAAGATGACAACAAGTCAGCTGGCCGACGTGAAGATGCCTCTGAGAAACATTGTTGCCTGACCAAAAGTTTAAATAATCAAAGAAAAACATAGAGCTATATGATTATCTGCACAAAAAGTAAGTAGTGGGCCTGGATTGGAACACATAGTCTTGCAGTAGTCAAAAGATAGGGTATCGAACACCCAAAGACATGGTAAATTAAAAGCTAGATCCTGAAGATCCAAATTACGCCTTTTAGCAAAAAAGTAACCTCACAAGCCCATAAGAAAGAACAGATTTTGTTAATGAATCCAAAGAAGAACATGGAGAGTTCCATTGAACATTGAAAGATTCAATCTTGCAATTGCGAACATTAATCGATAGGGAAGTTCCTTTTATGTCATACAATGTTTGCCACATCCCTCAGATGGCCCTCATAGGCTTGGCAGATAAAGAATTATTAATCTTTTAACTGACCCATGCCAATCCTTAGCTGAAGCACACTATATATGATATTTTCCAATTGAATTTCTCTTCCAAAGTCCTAATCCAGCATCAAGGATGCCAAAAAAAAATCAGCTGGCCAACTACAGACACGATATAAATCTAAAATTCCATTAGTTCAATACTCCCTCCATTCCAAATTATAAGATCTTTGGGCTTTTCTAGATACATTGATTTTACTATGTATCTGACATAGTGTATATCTAAGAGCATAACAAAAGATATGTATTTAGAAAAGCCAAAACGTCTTATAATTTGGAATAGAGGGAGTAATTAACTAATGGATGCTAAATTTAATACCTAATTAGCAGGAAGAAAGATCAACATTCTTGTCCAACTCTCCTGACCTAGGAAAGAGAAGTTTCTAGCCTAAACCCCAAGCTAGCATGCGAGTACCGAAAGTGCAGTGACATACTTGACAGTTCACAGCTTAACTGAAGCAGTGCACAATAAAAAGATTGTTTAGAAGCCATACTTAAAAACTCAGAATTCAAATCTTTCCACAAAAGCAATATTCAAAATTTGAAACTTCAGCATCATATTAGCAGTAAGAAAAGGTGGTTGACCAAACTTTTGTATCCTATTAGTTCAATCTCTAATATAAGTTTTTTATGGGTTGATAAATTAGTCATAGCCAGAAAAAAAAAACACCACCAACACCTGGGCACAGTATCCAAAATGCAAGCTTTGCACATATAAACAAACACATATGGTAGCTGTGATGTTCGATCAACAAGAAAGAGCAAGATAAATAGTACTCACCCCACATCAGGCTTGCTGGCAAACTCACGGTCTCGGATAGCACTAACATGGAAGAAGGCCCCAAGTACACTGTAGAGCTCCATGACCCTCCCTTCCCCGATGAGCATGATCTGATTCTTTGGTATCCACTTGGGATGGTTCACCAGGGCCTTGGCGCAATTGGGGATATCCACAAGCCGCCTGAGCACCCGTAGTGGGCGCTGGAAGTCACCCAGGGCCGAAACTTTATCGACGCTCTGCCTAAGGAGCTCGTACAGCTCCCCCATGGCCGGCTCGATGGAGTCATAGTCCGCGCCGCCCAAGAACTCATCAATGAAGCCCGGCGGCGGTGGCGCCCCGGGGGCCGGGGTGGGGTCGAGCGGGTCGGCTGCCTCAGCGAGGAGGAATACGAGTAGGTCGGCGGCGGGGTGTTGCGCGCCGGGCGGGGTGGGGAAGGTGTCGGGGTTCCCGGCGACGATTCGCGAGTAGGAGAGGATGAGGGCCCGGAGGTGCGCGATGGAGGCCGCGAGGCGCGCCTGGAGATCGGCGTCGCTGATGGTGGAGATCTTACGCGCCTCGTCGGCGGCGCGGCGGAAGGCGGAGACGAGGAAGGCGAAGGGGGTCGGGGACCCGGCGGGCGGGTCCGGGAGCGAGAGGCGGTCGATGAGGAGGCGCTCGGCGGCGTCGCGCAGGGCGAGGAGAGGGCGCGACTCGGAGAGGAGCTCGGCGGCGGTGAGCTCGAGGTAGGCGACGGCGGGGCTGGGGTTGGCCGGCGGCGTGAGGAAGACGAGGAGGATCTTGCGGAGGATGATGTCCTCCACCTCGTCAGGCGAGCGCTGCGGACGCGCGGAAGCCGGCGATGGGGACGCCATCGGCGGCGGCGGCGGCTCGCTGCTGGTTCTGCTGCTTCGACTTGGGGAATCGCGTGTTGTGGTAGGTCGAGAGACTCGAGAGCGCGCTGGACTTGGGGGTTTGCGGGGGGGCACACAGGGGTATACGGTATACGGTATACCATCCGATTACGGTGAGCATGCAGTAAAATAGGTACTCCTCCTTTTATTTCAAATTATTAGATATTTTGACTTTTTCTATACTGCTATACATACACATAGATCTACCCTACTAATGCATCATCTTTTCTTTCCTACGTCCACATAAGAAAACGACCCCCTCGTTGAGATGTCCCCTCTAAGTCCACTCTAAAAAAATGTAACCAGGAAAACAACACATTTCAAACGAACCGTGTAGATGTACTCTAAGTCTTCTCTCTCTTTACTCATTACACAATCGAGGGCTTGGATTGAGTGTATCAAATCTCCTCATTCTCCCCCACACCCACGTCATGCATTTCACCGAGTATTACTTAACGCCACCGCCAAAAATCATGGAACTTTCCGGACACGCATGGAGGCGGAGGAGGCGCCGCTACTCCTCCTGCCATGGAATCGACGGAGGAGGCGAGTAGGCGGTGATCGCGCCATGCGTCAGCCCGGTTGTCGCGAGCGAGATCGAGGTGCACCGCCGCCGTCGTCGCATACGTCTCGCCTCCTGCCGTGATCGTTGTCTCCATGGGCCGCTATGATCGCTGCTGCAGGAGGATGACGCGGGTCGGCTAGGTGGTCGCGAGCGAGGAGATCAGGTACGCCTATATACTTCGATCGTCAAACATGTTGCCGCTGAGATGGATCCATGTCGCCGTATATATGTTCCATGCCCAGCTCCTGTCTTTGTTCTAAGATCGCATTGGAACACATGCATACACCTAACTGCGTATATACGTATAGATGCATATAGGGTACATGAATTTTTTTTATCTTTACTTTTGATCATAGTATATATGAAACTACAAAATGCAGATTTTTTCCGAAGTACTATCGGTCATTTGCCGAGGCGGTTCAGATGTTTAGAGATGTAGCAAGTACGGTAGGAAAATTTTTCATCTTCAAATTCAGAGGTTTATATTAGCATTTAGATGTTCAGATTAGCATTTAGGCGGTTCAGATGTCAGTATTCAAATAACCACGGAAGACAAGATATATCATGGTTCTAATGGACATGTCTATTATATTATTATTACTAGCCCTTGACGGCAAAATGGGGACGCCAGGAGAAGGCCGCACTGCGCTCAGCGATGTAACGAACATACCTACTCCAGGTATTTTCATATACTCATATTTTTTATATAAGCCATCATCTATAAAAGTATATAAATAAACAAGGCCATGTCAACAGCTTGCAGCGAAGAACAACGCACGAGAGAGGAAAGGAATAGAAAACAACATGAGTACCGCGCTAGGATTAGGGCTCAAGAATCAAGCGAGCAAAGGGAGGAGAGAAATAAGAGGCAGCAGGAGTACCAGCGGGACTACCGTGCTCGGCGAAATACACAAACAACGGCACCTCCTAATGCACCAGATCAGCCAGGTGCTAAAGAATGCTCTTTGCGGGTCATCTGACTGCTATCTTACTGACCTTGTCTTATTACTTCAACAGCAGCGCAATATCCAACTTATGGGACAACGACATCAGCCGTTCTGCAACCAATTAATGAAGGATATTTTTCCGCCCCAAACATGAATTCTATTGACGTTAATATGACCCCATGTACGTCAATTCAAGGAGTGCATAAATCACCATTTCAGACGGGGAATTCCAGAATTTTTACTGGCCCAACCTCAGTTCAGGACAAAGAAAATCAAACCCCATGCGATGCTTCGGAATAGTTGCGTCGAAATGATAACTATTTTAGACCAAGGCAACAAGCATGTGGGGATATCGCAATGGAGCTGTCTACTCAGATGGTTTAGGATCCACGTGAAACAATAACTGAAATTTTATAGTATCTACTAATGATGTTTTTTTTCCATTTTTACGATTTATTTATATCTCACCATATCAACCAAATGATTAAACAGAATCCAATTCAAGTGCCGATCAATTACGGAGAAATAGAGAAAGGTACAACAATCTTGAAGAATCGATAAAACAAGAATTATTGGATAAAATGCGAGGCTATACAAGGGACAGGAGAAATATTGCACATTAGTCCATTCAACATACTCCAAACAGCAATGCCCAGCCCATAGATTGCTTGATTCATTTTTCTTCCAATCCATAGTTTCATATATGTAAATTTCTGATGTTAATTATATAACTTTAACCTATAATAACTATTATACAGATGGGAGACTAGCTCTTCGCATGTTACATGCAAACATCGATCGGGTAGATGAATATGACACTACCTTGTTCCAGCCGGCAAACAACGAGATACAAGAATATGATGACGAAGGAGGTGGGTTGCTTTTTAATGACACAAACATGACTGCATAAGAGTTAGTTTTTAACATACCACGCGCTGCCCATGCAACAGATCCCCGGGAAAACATGGAACATCAGAGCGATGACGACGAAGCTAGGCAATTCCATAGGGAAGGTATCGCCTCACGTAGGTATTATATAGGGAGTTTCCAGAACACTACCGGTGGATCAGTGGTCGCAAGCTCGGGGACTACATCGGTACGATGCACTTGCCGGTGCAGCTCGTATCGCTTGTACGACGATTGGATTCTCAACTTAACTGGGAATTCTTTTTAGACCCTGGCACCACATGCCTACGTCACCTACTACCAGGCTCGGAGACTAAGTGGGCACACTTCACCTTACGGTGAATGTGCTTATTTTATCGACCCCTACACTCTAACTGTTGGCCATAACTACTCCTGCACAAGGGTCACTTACATTTCTTTTCAGAAATACAAGTGGGCACACTTGATCAGGAAAGAAATCTTTTTCTTTTTTCTTTAGAGCACCATGCATTCTTTGGACAAACCGGAATCTTCGGCTATAATCATGGTCTATTGCTCTCTGTGCTGACCAGAATACTGGCACATTTGCTTGGTCAATGTTTCAACCAGTTGGAGATGATATGAGGATAGACTGCATTAGCCAAAGAAGATCAAACGACGTGTCACAATATAATAAATGGTGCTCGGGGACTAGCTGTGGGGGTATTAACCCCTATACCCTTACGACTAAGTTTGGGCCGGGCCGGACCTAGGGGTATCATGACAAGGACGTTGTGGAGAAACGTCGTAATAAAAATTATATTAAATATAAATATCACAAGTGTACTTATCTTTGGATAGAAATCTGGTCGATGGTGATAAAGTTGTCCGGTCCTCGTGCTTTTTGGCCTGTTGTGACGGTGGTCGCGGTTGTCATAGCGCCGTTCTTCGTGGCAATCATCATTGCGACGTGGTCTAGTGGTTGAGGTGGTCGAGCTCGACGGAGCTGCTCGGGACATGGTCGACGTGGTCCGTGGTCGATATGGTCGGAGCTCGGCGGAGCCGCTCAAGACGTGGTCGACGTGGTCCATGGTCGACGTGGTCGGAGCTCGGCGGAGCCGCTCGGGACATGGTCGACGTGGTCCGTGGTCAACGTGGCTGCTCGATCAGTTCGGTGGTCAGAGGGCATGTACCTAGCTCCATCGCATGGGGAGGCAAAAGCCCTCGGACATGTCCAAAGGAGGTCGGGCGCGATGGAGATCTTTCTTGCTTGCGTGAAGGGTTACGGAGTAGCCCGATGGCGATTTAGTAGATTGTATGTGGTCTTCATATTTGGAGTCGGAGAAGCACACGGAGTCCTTCCAGGTTGTCGCCAGACATTGTGTATGAATACATACATAACACGAACACCCATAGTTGGCCCACTTGCTTGTACTCGCGTCTTCTTGCATGGTCGCTGACGTGATCTTCATCGTGCATGTAATGGCAATCAATCATGCAAATCGGTGTCGTAGCTCCATGTGGATGCCGCGTGGAGACCAAAAACCGGACGCTTGAGTCGAAAACGGGACCATCTACGCCACCGGCCGATCGAGATCGATCCGATCAACTCTTGTGATATGTCATAGATGTTAGGGCTGCCGCTTGTCTTAGTGCACCGTTACTTCTTGATACTCCTCAATCCAAATCATGTTGACGGTTACGCGGGCTTTGGCCGAGGTCGATGTATAAAACACGATCCGAGCAGCGTTGTATATTGTACGCGTAGTTGGAAGCAGTGTTTACAGCCGAGGGCTGAGCCAGTAATTCTCCATCAAGGCTTCGCTTTTCGGAGAGCCGGAGCCCGTTCTATGGGGGCCGGTCGGCGACGAACGGAGCGCCCTTTAGGAGTAGACGTGACCACGAGATCCGTACCGAGTCGTGCAGGATGATTGGCCCGAGCTGGTCGGGTAGATCTGTTGTGGGGAGTGGTTACCTGCTCGATAGGTTGATTTTGAATCGAATCTATCAGAGCTAGGGTTTCAGCAAGCTTGGTGCCGACCTGATCGATGGAGTCGAGCAGATCAGTGTTGTCGATCTGCCTCCCTTTGTAGCGAGGAAGCGAACGACGGGTTGTCAGTGTGGCTGAAGATGATGCTGGTGTGGCCGGAGCCAGATCCAACGTGGTCGGAGCAGTAGCCGATGCTAGTGAAGCAGTGGTCGACGCAGATTGGATCTGCGCCTCCTCCGTGATCATGGCGATGAAGTTGTCGGAACCAGTGGTCCAGGTGATCTGGCCGATGGTGAACGTGAGGCCATTCAACATAGCCATAGAGCTGGGGATGATGACCATCTTGTTCGTCTGGGGAGCAGTACGCACACCCCCTACCTGGCGCGCCACTGTCGATGAAATATGGTCGGCAGTCTACCTAGGGGTATGCCCAAGATAGTAAATTATCGGCAGATAGGTGCGCAACCTACGAACGAGATAGTGACGCAAGACACACACGAGGTTTTATTCAGGTTCGGCTGCCGTAAGGGCATAATACCTACGTCCTACGTCTGATTGTATTACTGTACTTCAACATGAATCGTGTTGATAGTTTCGCAAGGACATTATTATATAGGAAGTTCCCAGAACACTACCGGTGGATCAGTGGTCACAAGGTGTGGCAGAGAAGAAAGAAACAGCTAAGACAGATTGGAAGAAAAATATATATATAAGACATGAGGGAATGTATGTTTGAAGGGTTATCATCAAGAAAAGGCATATATACCTACATTTCACGCTAATGCTAGAATGTTCAATCTCGTCATGGCACTACCAAATTCTAGGTGGAGCGAAAATATTTATTACTGGGAGCGAAAATACTCTAAATATGTAACAAAGGTTTCGGGTCATAAATACTGGTAAGTGTCGCAAAATTTGGTTCAACTTTTCTATAAAAAACAGTAATTTGATTTATGTACATCAAATAAACAACTGATCTTCTCCGTCAGGAAATTGGGAGGCTTTTTTGTCTATAATTTCATGAAGTCGTGGGACGGCGTAAGATTACCACGGATCACCACTGTAAGCATATATAGTCTCTAACTATATTCCGTACACTACATACAATACTAACATATTATATTCTATACCATGTGCAGCTATCATCTACACTGAGGAAGGAATTCTTGGCTGATATTTTGACGAGTCCTGCAAACGAATGTTTCAACATCCCTGAAGATGTGCAACAAATGATAAATGACTTATGCCAAATGTAACTTAGGCTACAATATAATAATTAGGTAAAGGTTAAACTACAAAATAACAAATTGGATGTTTTATGATAATTCTCTAGATAAAACCATTGCGTTAGCACGGGTATTATACTAGTATGCATAGATTTTACAATATACTTTGATATATATTATATGTCCATGTATTAAAAATAATATATATAGAAAAGTCAAAATATTGAACCACAGTGTAGTAGAGAATTTTTTTGCCCGCTTTACAAAGTTGTTTTTTTACTTCCCCTACTAAATAGGCCTTGAAAAACAGTTATTTTCTAAAAATTGTTTTTAGCTTCTCTCACATGCACAGCTCCCTAGGTAAAGCAGGGTGAAATTGAAAATACTACTTGTTCTAGCTCTCTCTACTATCCGTCATGAGAAGTCGTTTTACGAAACGTATTTGAAAACGAGTTTAGCTCAATGGTGAAGCTGCATTATCTCCCACAACTAAAAAAGACTAAAGAGTAGGCACCGTTTTGGTGTGACATTCCAATGTAGGCCCATCGTTCTGCCTGCTGCAATCCCACGCCCGTCGTTCCTACGTTCGTCCCTTGCGAAGGAAACAACCTCGCTCTCATGGTTTCAAAAGGAAGGAAACAACTATGGAAACAACGACCAGGAGAACATGCAATCGTGATCATCGAAAAAAAATTCCCGGCCGACTCCACGGAATCACGACACCTCCTGTTCCACCTTCCTAAGGCCCCGTCCGGCTTGCTGAAACTTAGCTGAATTGGCTGAAAAATACTGTTCTGGCTGAATTATTGCGAGAGAAAAACATTGTTTCGGCTCAAAAAATAAGAATTGGGCCTGATCCCTCACCCTGTTGCCTCTAAATCGTGGCAGACACACATCCTTTTCCAACAAAAAAAATATCTGGCGCCTGTGAAAAAAAAACTTATTGAAAAGAAACTGCCTGCGTCAATCCGGATGCGCCGCCGCCGTCGGACGGGCTGTCGCCGGACTTCACGCCGCCGCCCTACGCGACGCCGCCTCCACGAACTGTCCCGCTGGCAGCTGGCGCAGTGACGCCGCCTGACGCTCGACGGCCTCCACGAACTGCCCCGCTGACGCAGTGACACCGCCGGACGCCTCGACGCCGCCTGACGCTCCGCCGCCTCCACGAACTGCCCTGCTGACGCCGCCGAACCGCTACTGCTTCGTCAACCCGGATGCGC